TGCGGAGGAAGGGAGAGACAGAGAAGGGGAGAGAGAGAAAGTGAGGAGGGAGGGAGGAAGGAAGGAAGATAGATATAACTAACAAAATGATAACATGATGCCTGGGATTACTTCAAAACAACTGGGAAGGCTGGAAGATAAAAACATCATACATAAACTGAAATTGTTGAAGGTGGGTGGGTGAAAGGTACTGGAGGTTCATTACTCTGTGGGCAAGGGCAGAGAGATTGATTAATTTGAACTTATTTTTAATAATTCAAATCACCTATTGCCAAAGACCAAGGTGTGCTCAGGTACCATTTATTTGGAAAAGAAAAATACATGTAAAATTATCTGATCAGTAAAGTAGTTATCTAGGGCTGAGAAAAGTAGTGACTCTCTAGAGGAGCACAAAAGTGGCCTTAGGGAGGCTGGGATTGTGGTTCAGCGGTGGAGCGCTTGCCTTGCCAGTGAGAGGACCTGGGTTCAATCCTCAGCACCACATTAAAAAATAAATAAAGGTATTGTGTCCATTTACAACTACAATATATATTTTAAATATATATGTAAGTGGCTTCAGAGTTAAACATTATACTTTTTTAAAATTTTAAGTTTCTGTGGTATTGAGACACTCTACCAGTTAGCTATACTCCCAGGTCTTTTTTATTTTAAGAACAGGATCTCACTAAGTTGCCAGGGCTGACCTCAAACCTGCAGTCTTTCCACCTCAGCCTTCTGAATAGGTGGGATTACAGGTATGCACGACTGCACGACTGCACACCTGTAAAATCTTTTAAAAATGAAATGAAATTAAAATGAATTCATTAAAAACAGAATCACATGCTCTGTTTGACAACACCCCAGAGAGAAGGCATACACTGCAGAAAAACTGTATAATAAATTAAAATTATAAACGTTTGAAATAACTATTAAAATGAATTTTATTTATTTGCTTGCTTGCTTATTTATTTGTTTGTTTGTGTATTGGAGATTTAAAACAGGCATGCTTAGCCAATAAACTACATCCCCAGCCCTTTTTGATTTTTATAGTGAGACAGGG